AACCAATGTCATAAAACAACATGTGTACTACTGTTTCATGGGAAACTATTTGTTCTGTAAGCCTTCACCTGAAGTACAATAAAAAATAATAATAATTAAAAAAAAAGTGGATAAGCAGATGGAGCAGGGTCATCACCCCAACCCCACCCTCATCTCTTCTAAGAACATGTCTCCTGCTAACCCCCACTGTCTCCTTATAGGGGCACCCACCCCCTTCTAGTCTGTGCTTCACATGTGGTCAATGATTTTCTCAAATACAAATCTGATAGTGTCACTCTTCTGCTTAAAATCCTTCAGTGACTTCCTTCCCACTGTCCTTGGGTTGAAGACCAAGATACTGAACATACCTACAAGGAACTGCCCCACTGGTGCTCTACCGCCCTCTCCAGCCTTTTCTCCTCCCACTCTCCCTCCTTGCTTTCTGCACTCCAGTCAACTGGCTGCCTTCCTTTCAGCCCCAGGACCTTTGCACATGCTATTGTTCCCATGGGAAGATTTTCTTCTCCTCTCTCCCCCACCCCAAGCAAGCTCCTTATATACTTAAACCCTGCTCATTCTCCAGATCTTAGTTAACTGCCACTTCCTTATGGAAGATTTACCTAATGCCCTGGACTAGATTATGAGCTCCTGTTCTTTTTCTTCATTCCACTTAACATTTGTATTACATTATTTGTCAAATTACTGGCTTAATATCTATCTCTTGGATACATCTACAAACTCCATGAAGCCATGTCATTTTGTTCATCATTGTATCCGCAGTGCCTAGAACTGTGACTGAAGGTCTTCCACAAATATTTGTTGAACGAATGAATAACTGAATAGGCCAGGCCATAGACGCACAAAATTGGCCAGGGTATGTCAGCACAGGTGAGTCTGTTTACAGTTGGGGCTGGATGAACACTTGGTCCTGAAGGAAACTTATCACAAGCTGAATTCAAAAGACTAGGACTGAGCCAGGATGCTAAGGGGAGAGTGTTCCTGACAGGGTCAAGGAACTAAGTCAGCAGAAGGGGAATAAAGGGCAGGAGCCAGCTCTGCTGGAGTAGGGGTACCAGAAGACAGAGTCGTGATGCAGTGGGGCTCCAAGCACATACAGCCCCAAGCCCTAGACAGAAGTTTCCTTTTGCTCCATCAATTGAAAAGACACACCTGAGTTATCTCTGGAAGATGTAGCAAGGCCAAACAGGTGGGGTTGGTGAATCACTCTGGCCGATTTACAGAGTCAGCGTGAAGCTGGGTGATGTAGTACGTGTGAGCCCATGCGAGGTTAACTGCTCCATGATTAAGTTGGCTGTCACTCTGGGACAGAGGATCTCGCCTGGGGTGGAGAGGGAAAGGTGGATCAGACAAGACTGGGAAATGGATGCCCCTTCTTTCCTCCAAATTCTGGCTTCCAGCCTTGTGGGGAGTGCCCTCCACTCCTCTCCTTCAACCCCAACTCCAGGCCCAGGTCAAGTTCTGCTTCTTGGGAGATTTCCAGATGGGTCCAGCTCCAGAGCCTTGTCTAAGCTTCTGTAGTCATCCTTGCCAGCAGTATTTCCTCATCATCGTGGAATCTTCCCTAGATAGGGACCACTTAATTTCCCTATCAAGGACCCCCATCGAAGCTAATACAGTCACCCTTTTTTTGTGGAAAATTTCCCAACTTCATGGTCTTCGTGGCCCCAGTTGTCAAGGGAGATGATTGGTGAAGTCTTTTCTTTTGGGCAGCCTAGAGTGAAAGGAAAAGATTCTGTGCTGGCTTGAGGTTGAGGCAAGGTCAAGGAAAGTCTTTTTAGACCAAGAGGCTGGAGTATCCTTTAAGGTTGAGCAACAGGAGCCAGTGAGGGGGGACAAGATTGAAGATGTGAGAAAGTGGGAGGGGATGGGAACCAGTACAGGTGGAGAAGTTGGCCTTGTCATAGATAGGTCTCCAGGGGAAGGGTAGAGAGGTTGACGGAACACTTGCCTGGTGGGCTACGTTTTCTAAAAGAAGCAAAGACACCTACTGAGCATGCATGAGAGAGAGGAGGTGGGGTAGAAGCCAAATTTGAAACAACAGCCTTGAGAAAATAAAAAAATGGTGTTTGGATAGATCCAGAGTTGTGAATGAGCAGGGCAGAGATGCCCCCAGAAGTCTGGGAGGCCAGCCTTTGACCAGCACAAGTTCAGGGACTCAGCAGTGCTACTGCCTGCCCTTCTGTGCAGGCTGCAGAGGCTGCCCAGAATCTGACTGCCAGGCACAGTACGGAACATTCTGCACTCTAACCAGGGCAGATCAGATAACCTTGGGTGGCGCACCAGAGAGCTATAATCAAGCCTGGGAAAATAGGAAGCAGAAGCAGCTCTATGTGTGCCCTTCCTCTACTGTCAACTAATCTTCCCAAGCATTCCATGCAGGCAAGCACTATGTACCCTCTGTGTCTAAGAGGGTGGCATTCCATAACTCTGACTTTTCATCTCCCAAAAGCTACCTCCTGGAGAAATGGCTGATTCTAGGTCTGGGGCAGGGAAAATACAAGATGAGCCTGAAGCATCTTAGAGTACCAGAAAGTAAGGGAGAGCTCAAAAAACAAAAGGATGGGGGCCTGTCAAAAGGACACAGGAGCCAACCAGCAAGAATTCCCAGGCTGGAACAACTGGAGAAACAAGATAAATAATGTTGTATAGGATAGAACCCCAAATATAAAACAAATATGCATGAGCCCATACGGATATAAATTATTAAATAAATGGAGAACAGACAAATCTTCCTTACAGAAGAATTCCAAATAATATGTGTAGCTACCTCCCTCTCCAGGAAATGGAGCTTAATCCCCCCCCCCTTAAGGGTGGGCTGGACTTAATAATTTGCTTCCAAAATATACAGTATGGAAAGGGAAAAATAGTAAATTTACAGTGGAGAAACCTGGAAGACACTACTTTAACCAAGTGATGAAAGTCAATGTCACCATGGTAAGTCATGTTGATGTTATACACCCCCTGATATAATGTAATGAGAAGGGTACCTCACCTCTGTGGTATTTTGTTCCCCAAACCCATAACACCAGTTTAATCATGGGAAACACATCATACAAACCTAAACTGAGGAACATTTTACAAAATACCTGACCAGTATTCCTCAAAATTGTGAAGGTCTTGAAAAACAGCAAAAGACTGAAAAAATGTCACAGACCAGAGGTGATTAAGGAGACATGACAACTAAATGCAGTGTGATATCCTGGATTGGATCCTGGAACAGAAAGAGGACATTAATGGGAAAACTGGTGAACTCCCAATAAAGCCTGGAGTTTAGTTGATTGTAATGTACACGTTGTTTTCTTAGTTATGACAAATGTTCC